AACAGTATGTTCTCTAAAATATAACTCTTTATCTTTTCTTCTAATAGGAAGGAACACCATTACGTCCAATTATCTCTTCGATGTATACACCTACAACTGCCATTTCGAAGTTTCTGGATAAATTAATTCGACCATTATTTGATAAACATGCTCGAGCAACAACAATTATTGATGGAGTTGATTTAATTCGCCGTCTTCAAAAATATTCTTCACGAGGGTATCTTAAACCAACAACACTCTTATGTTCATTTGATATAACTGATCTGTATACAATGTTACCACAAGAAGAATCATTAAATACTGTTATGGAATTTCTTCATTATTATGGTTATCAAAAAGTTCAAAGTATTCCATTTGATACCATACGAAAATTAGGTCGTATTGTTCTTACCGAAAATGTCTTTATTTATGAAAAGAAATTCTATAAACAAATTATTGGAGGTGCAATGGGATCAGCATTTACATTAACTCTAGCAAATATTTTCATGTGGAAATGGGAAAAAGAACTTGTTCGTCGACAGGTAGCTTCAAATGAAATCTATGGCAGGTATGTGTCTAACTTCTGTTAGAGAATTCCTTCTATTCTTTACTATACTGTTAGATATATTGATGATATCTTCTTTACATCAAATCAATCACTCGATGTAGTCAACCAAATGTTAGATGAAGCAAATCATTATCATCCAAATATAAAACTAGTTCGACAAATTGGTAAAAGTCTTCCATTCTTGGATGTTTTCGTAGAAAATAAGAATGGTATAATTGCTACATCAGTCTATCATAAAGAAGCAGCTGAAACTTATGTTGTACCATTTCAATCTGATCATCCACGACATACCTTTAAGAATATTATAGATACTGCACTTACACGTGCAGTTCGATATTCATCAACATTACAAACATTCAATCAAGAACGACGTTACATAAAACTTATGTTACTTTATAATGGGTTCGCCTTTTTTTATGTTAAAATATCTTCTATGATCTATTTTCTGTTGTTTTAGCTATCCACCACGATTCATTTATGCTATATTCAAAGCATTTCTTGGCATACATATGCCGTCATTATCCTCTACGGTTATGTCATGGATTGAATATGAAAAACAATATTTTCAAATACGAACTTCAAGATTAAAACAACCGACAAGTGATGAACAAAGGTCACAAAACAGAATATCTACAATAACGGACGAGAGTACTGAAGAACAAGGCAAAGACAAACTTACTGCAAATAAACAACAAAAACAAGATAAATGGAATAAATGTCTTATTATACATTATACACATGAACAACGTTTGGCAAGTTATAAAAGAGATATTCATCAAAGATGGGATGGAATATTCAAATAGACACCAGTGGATGAAAGCAACCTTATTGTTGGCAATCGAAATAATCGTAATAGTGCAGAAGAATTAGTATCTAAACGACCAGTAATGCCAAAAGCATTAGCTAAACCACGTGCATGAGTGTTAAAAGTGTTTTTCTCTCTCTCTCTCTATCTATATATATGTATATATCTTTTGTTTTCATGTGTTGTTTCAGTTTTAAATAAAAATAAATATGTAACAAGGTTTCCTTTTTTTTTGAAATGGCTATAGTTTTCTGTTTTCTATTTGTAGATTAGTTTCATTATTCTTCAATTATTCAATGGCAAGTAATCACAAACCAACACAAAATGATCTTCATAAACAAGAACCATTCATTGAAAATAATATGGGTCAGTATAAACTAGAATAGAACACAATTTCAGTTGTCAGAGTAATAAAATCTAAATAGTCTTTAGATTTTCAAAATGATGGTAACAGCGAACCAATGCAAGTAAACGTACACATTAATACTACAATTAATATCAATCTTCTTCGTAACATAGTACGATCTGATGACCATAATAACCGTACAAAAAATATGAATGTGAATATAAAAAATATAAAGATACAAGAAAATATTGATAATTATGGCCGTAATAATACGAAAGATGAAGTTGAAGATGAAGAAACAATTGAAATAGAATATTATAGACGTGCACCCAGTCAAAAACATCATCATGCTCAATAAGATAAACTTTAAAAAAGAACATATATACTAGTTCATATAAACATTTTTGTTATATTCCCATATAGATATTAGTTATACAGTCATTTGTTATCATGTTCTGAATATTATATTTCGTTGAAATAAAATAAATAACGCTCGTCAGTGGTGACTCGCATTACCCTCGACTGAAAATATCACAATATGCAATATATTATTAT